ACACACACACACACACACACACACACACACACACACACACATACACACACACACACACACACACACCCTAACTGTGACGACACACGATTTTCAATTACAACTATGCGCATGGATAATAATAATTATTATTAGCGCCACCACACAAGTCTTACTCAGCATAAACGCACACGGGTCTCTCTTTTGCCTTTCGTCATAGCCACCTCTTAGGTTTCTCCCTCACATATCCACATACCTATGATTCGTACGCCTAGCTTTCGTTTCGGCTCACCTACGATCTCATAAAGTTCTCACATGCTGTCTTTCTTTCTCTATCCCTCCCTCCTTCTCTCCCCCTCTCGTTCCGCGTCTATTTCTCTTCTCATTCGCTTTCTCTATCTGTCTCATCCTCGCGCACCTTCTCTTTCTTTCTCCCTCTTCCTCTCTCAACCTGTCTATGTCTTTCCGTTTCTCTCAATTTCTCGATAGCTCTCACTCTCTCTGTCTTGCGCGCTCTATCTCCCCACCTCTCCCTTCCCCCGTCTTTCCATCTCTCCATCGTTCCACCTCATCTCTCCCCATGTCACTCTTCACACACTGCGTATACTTCTCTCGCCCGCGCTCTTTCCATCTCACTCGCCCCACATAATTCCTCTCGGCCGCGATTTCTCCACCCTCCTATCCCACTTCACATCGCTCTCCCTGCACCTCTCTCTCCATTTCTATCCCTCTCCTTCTCTCTCACGCTCCATGATTCTCCACCCCACCCCCGTGTCGCTCCGCCTTACCTATCCTCATCTTGAAGTTGTTGTACGAGTGCTCGTTGATTATCTTTATCTGTCGGTTCATCTCGAGAGCGAAGTCAGCGACGACGGCGACGCGTTCGGCTATCGGCAGATCCTGGCCCGTCAGCCCGCTCGCACACATGTACGTCGAGCCGATCGTCTTGATCTTCTCGATGCAGGCGAATCTCGGCTGCTGGAGAATCTGTTGTAGTAAGATGAGAGTGAGCGAGGGAGAGAGAGAGAGGGGTGAGGGGGGAAGGGCGAGGAAGAGAAGGGGAGAATCTGTCGTAGTAAGATGAGAGAGTGAGAGAGAGGGGGCGAAGAAGGGAAGGGGAGGATGATTGAGCGACTGGGGGAGAATCTGTCGTAGTAAGATGAGAGTGAGAGAGAGAGGGGGCGAAGAAGGGAAGGGGAGGATGATTGAGCGACTGGGGGAGAATCTGTCGTAGTAAGATGAGAGTGAGAGAGAGAGGGGGCGAAGAAGGGAAGGGGAGGATGATTGAGCGACTGGGGGAGAATCTGTCGTAGTAAGATGAGAGTGAGCGAGAGAGAGAGA